CTTCATATCGGGCATAGAATATATTTCCAAAGTGCCCGATTCACGAGCCGTGATCAGCCAGTAAGAGGGTTTTATTTGAGGTAGCAAACGGCGCCACCAATCAGTATTTTTTTGTTTGGATTGTTTTGCAAGATCGGCCAGACTGTTCATCTTGAAGGCGTTGCCAGATTCACCATATAGCAGATCTTCCTCATCTTCGATTTTCATATGCGGCTCCACTTTCATGTATCCCAAGCCAGCATACAATGAATTTCCATTACTGCCTGTGAGATTGAGTACATCATCTGACTTAGCTGTGAATAAGCCAGATATATCCTTGTATGCAGCTATTGCAATCACTGCAGGCACACTACTGATTGTATTCTTATTGATTGCAAGACGTGGAGTACCTTTAGTCTCACGTAAAGCCAATGTTATCACTTGTCCGTTTAGCACACGTAAACAAACATAAGGATCTGCCGTCGAGACTTGCACTACCGGCGAGCCCACATCGATAGGTACATTTTGTATGAGGCGCGTTCCTTGCAGCAGTCGGACATTACGTGTTGTTGCTTGTATAATGAAACGATTTTGTCCTAGGTTACCCACGAATATAGTTGGTTGTTGACAGCTAAACCCGGTATTTTCGATTTCGTTGATCTCATCGCCAGTCTGTAATACTAGAGACGATGAGCGTTGCGATAATATCATAAAGTCATGATGATCGTGACGTGTAGACTTTTTACTAGCATCGTCATACACAGTCCATACATCTAGGCAACCTTCCAGCTCAAAACTAGTAATAATTTGGGGTGTAATGCAATTTACGAAGACACATAAAGCACCGTTCTTGTTGTGACCACTGGAAGCAACGACTTCAATTTTTAGCTCAGCTAAGTTTTCTACGTGTGGACGTAATGTAACACCGTCTTCCTCAAATTCAACACGTTCGCCAGCACACATGAAGTTTATTGGTCCGACATTTAGCAAACTATCACAAACTTCGAAAATGTATTTCCGCAACTGAACCGATGTTTTAGCACCGGTTCCATATACCTAAAAAGCGGTTACCAATTAATTTTTAAAGGTTATAATTAAATCAATACTTTTACCTCCAACTCTTCGTCTTCGATACGCCTCGCTTTAGGTACAGATTCGTCGTTAACTGCAGCGTTAGCATCGTTTGTTTCCACCTCGTCCAACGTTATAACAGTACTCTGATCCTCTTCAGTAAAATGCAGCAATAACGAATTTCCCAATCTTGAACCCAAAAACAAATATTCTGATTGACAAACACACATACAACTGGTGAGAACACTAGCAGCTGCCTTATGAAAATGGAAATTTCGAACCGTGCGCATGGAGTCAACGCATAAGGTCAGCACATACAGTTCACCACCTTTAAGCGAGATCACTAGTTTATCAATATCAATAAATGTAAGATTGGCTGCATCAAGKGAGATCCGTACCCCGTCTTGTGGCTTGAGAGGGAAGCTTGTGCTATGATCTGCTGAGCTATTTAAACTCACACCATACGGCGGCACACTCTGATTAAGATAAATTATGGAATTCACGGTTGTGACGAGGCAGCCACCTATTGGCTTCTGTATTGGGAAAACTTGAAGACAATCAAATGGCAAGCCGGTAACTGTCCAGATTACTGGGTGTACTCGTTGTTGAATATTTAATGAAATGGCTACTAGTACGCACGTATCGGAACGTACACAGACACGTCCAGCAAATGTTCTTACTGGTTCGTAGAGAATCAGCAGTGTTGGTTCATAATAGCCGTATAGAAATTGTAAATCTAATACATTGTCAATTTTTTCGTCAAGTTCGCGAAGTGCTATTAAGTAGGAAGCTAATATTGGTGTACGAGCTACTAGTGCTGTAGGTGTTTTCTTTATGGGTTTCACATCCGCAAGCTCGATCTCATCTAAACTATTATCCTTTCGAAAGGGTAACACCACCAACTGTTTACCATAAACCAGCATTACAGCGCAACGAGAGTCTGGATCAACTCGTACCATTGGTATGAAGTAGCGTCCTGTCCATCCACCACGGACGTCGTCCTCTTCGAAAAAATGCAGTGAAAGTGTTTTTAGTGCAAACGTATCGGGGTCATGCTGTACTACCGATAACTTGGCATCTTTAAAACTTATAAGTAGTGCATCGCGTAGTGATCCTGCCAACGACACGCTCTGCAATGACATCACGTTACCATAAAGCGTATAGGTCGCCAAACATTCCAGCCGCATTTTCGGAGGTGTACGTAAGTCATTGATATTTAGCAATTTTTGGCGTTGAGCTGCATCTAGATGAGGGAATATACGATAWATCTTGAGTATATTTGCACCTGCTACGACGAGGTTCTCCTCAAAATTGTTGAAGAAATGACAGCAAATTGCAAATTCCACTCCAGTAGCGGGATGTGACTGTTTACACAGTGAAAACATGATGAACAACTGGCGTTATTGTCGGGAAATCTATAAAATAATCAAGTAAATTTGTAGAGAAATTACTAAAAATGTAAAATTATAATAAACAAGCAGCTGCGTACCGACTTATTTTTCACGCGCAAACAAAACATTTGCCGGCGCAGTCAGCAGAGAAAGACAATTATTTTACGTTCTCTTGTGCTGCATTTCTATCATAAACTTGGTAACACTTTGATGAAAAAAAATTGTTTGTCAGCATTGCTGTTTGCACGTTTTTTCAGTTTATTTTGCTATGGCTATTGACAGTTTATTGTGTTAGAACACGTTCTATGCGGTAGCAATTGAAAATAGTTAAGCTAAAATTAAAAGTTCCATTTATTACAAGTATGGAGTCCGAAGTTAATGGTTTTGCAGTCGAACAAAATAAAAAGCGTCAGAGGAAAAAGAAGAAAAATAGTAGATTTCTTCGAAATGCAAAGGGTTTTGCCAAACAAGGAATTTATGGTCGCGGTACCCACATTGATGATGATCAGTACAATTACTTCATTAATATTTTGGATGCAATGAAAAATGGATTTGACGATGTCGAAGAAAAAGGTATATTGTTGTTGTTGTAGCGACAGAGTTCTGCCGAATTGACAGTCCTTGACCGAATAAATATTCGGGTCCGTTCCGGTTACGTAGACCCGACTGTCGTGGGAACTCTGTCGCTACAACAACAACAACAACAACAAAAAGGTATATTTGTTTGTTTTTGGAACATGTTACATTTTACCACTTTTTATTTATAGTTAATATGGCTAACAACGTATTTGCACAAACGAATGAACAAGAGATTCATTTGGCATCCAATCAAATTGTGTGTAAAGTTCTCGAGTCGTTGATTGGTTTTGTGGACGCAGAAAACTTGGAACGTTTCTTTAATGTATTTGCTGGTAATTTTCGGCCAATCTGTTCCGACCGCTTCGCATCACACGTTTTGCAAAAAATGGTTGAAATAGCCTTTTTGAGAGCTTTAGGAAAATCGAGCCTAAAAAATGTAGGTGAAACCGAAGATAATACAGACGCAGCGGATCAACCCTCTCCACCGAAACGGCTCAAAACTGAAGTAACCGCTTTTAGTGAAGAATCGTATAACGCTGAATCTGACTTTAGCGCTGACCACCGTAGGCAGTGCAGCAAGTTTGTCGATCGTGTGAGCAAATTCTTACTTAACAATTTGGAAGATTTCGTTTGGGACCCCTGTGCTAATCATATTATGAGAACTAGTATCCTCAGCTTGGCTGGTGTACATGTGGCAAAGGTGGCGTTCGAGAAGGGTGGTGCTGACATGGCAAAAAATCGAAAACTGTACAATGTACCAGATGAGTGGTTGGCTGTGCTAAAGGAATTTCCACAACGATTAGAAATGTGGCCTCAATTCTCAGATTTTCCATACCAAGAACTATCCTCAGCTTTACTAGGGGTCATTTGTATTGCACTACGCGCAACAGACAAACAGCTTTTGAAACATTTTGGAAAAAAAATATTAATGGAAGCATTCCTTAAAGTTGAGCAAAGTGAGGAAGAAGAGGATAAGAAAATAGAAATATTGGACGACGACGAAGAGTCATCTGAGAAAATTGAGAAATTTGGGAGTAAAAATGCTGACAGCGTGGAAGAAGAAAAACATACTGTCAAGTTACCAAAGGTTTTTGAATACCAATCATCTGTTATTTTATTGGAAACTTTGATCACTATAGCTGGTCCAAAATTATTGACTCAACTTTATGCAATGCTCTTTACCGGACGCTTATCCTTATTAGCTAAGGAACAATTAACTAATTTCGCCGTGCAAAAGCTTTTGCAAAATATTAAAGAAAAGGAAGATTTTGAAAACGTGTTCAACGAACTAGTTAATGACATTGAAGATCTACTAAAAATTGGGCATACTGGTGTAGTAGAGGCGCTTGTTGGCGCCTGTCTACGCATCGGTTCGAAGCAAGCTCAAAGTATTGTATCATTACAAACAGCGCTTCACACACCTGCGAGCGATAAGCAAAAAGTTAAAAGTTTCTTTCATTGTTTAATCAAATTGAAGCCGTATGAAGTAACACATGCAGATAACAGCGCTTTCGTACATCTTCATGGCTCACTTATTGTTCAACACATTTTGCGATTCAATAAGCCTATTTTTTTGGTCAACTGCATATTAGACACACCTGCCGAACAACTAGTGACCATATTTAATACACCAAATGGTTCACATATCGTTGATGCGTTCCTACAAAGTAAATATATAGGAGAGAAATCTCGAGAGAAGTTCATTAGATACATGGAGGGTTTCTATGTGGACTTAGCCACCTCTAAGTTCGGTTCACGAGTTGTGGACAGTTGCTTTGTGGCTGCACAAGAAACCCAGAAAGCGCGTATAGTAAAAGAATTAGCAGATAAAACAAACATGCTAAAGAGTACAGCATTCGGTAGATTACTTTACAACAAATTCCGTGTTGAAACCTACAGACTGTCGGCGACGCAATGGAAAGCTAGCTTTCATGCGAATAAGGAGCAACGAGTTGATAAACTATTTAAGGACATTGTTAATTAACTTTTCATAATAAAAAAAATAATTTATTCGCACAGAATTCACAGCTTTGTCTTCTACAATTCTTCAAAGTGTTATTACATAAATAAATAAGTGTAATGGAAATTATTTTTAAATGGTTCACAACCGTTTGGTGATGAACGTTAAGTTCCTTAGCGATGTCATGGTTGCTTATGAGGCCGTCCTGGTTCATCGACTTTTGCAACGATAGGTGGACCAGAGCGAGGTGGATCTTCTACATCAAAATTTCCAGAATGGAAGCGAGCTTTACAAATGTCATTGGTGGCTTGCCTGGCATTTTTCCATTCTTTATACAAATATTTTAAAATAGTGCGAATATCTTCATTACTTACACTCATTTTTGAACTGCTGTAACTATTTTTCAACTTCCCCGCATTTTATTTATTTATTTATTTTTTTTTTGTTTAAATGAAGCTTAACACATAGATTTTCGATCTGAAATCTTAACAAAAAAATATATAAACGGACGGATTTGTTTAGTTAAAAAAAACATGAAATTTAAATGTATTTGACGTAATGTTTTGTCATGTCTCACTTAAGGGAAAATTAATAAAAACTTTTACTAATTGAGAGCTAACAATCTTAATGCCCTTATTATATATACATATACTGAATGTTTAAAAGTCAGTTATTTTAATATAGCATAAAAGTATTTACATATAAAAATATTAACACTATATAGTAATTTTCAATTGTACTAAATGTTGGGGGTTTTAATTTAAATACCCAAAAATTATTACTTTGTCCGATCTGGCTATAACGGAAAATGTTATAAAAACGCTAATTGTGGAGCGTGCTAGTAATAATTGGACATCCCTTTTATCCCTGTCACAAGTCTCTAAATTTTAAATTTTAAATTAGAGACAATTTTTGAGACGATTTTGAAATTTTGTTAGTGACAAAAAATTTCTCAATTGAAGACGAACATGTCTAATGAGCTTTTAAACGACATCTATTGACAACTTTCTCGACTACGCAATACTATAAATAGACTTTTCCCAAAAACAAAAAGTTTAATGTAAAACRTTTTCTACTGTGAATGTTTTAAAAAAAATCTAAAAAAGTATTCGATTTTCCGCTTTTAGTGTCACCCTGTAGAATAATAGCCGACTTTCATTCTCAAAATCAGCTGTTGGTTAATATTTTCATTTCGAGTGTAAACAAAAATTTTGGAAACAAATGGAAAATAAGGGTGAAAATAAATGATTTAAATAAACTTACAAAGAGTTATTATTAATATTTATTTTTAGGTAATAAAAATAAGACAGTTTCTTCCGATTCGACATCAAAAAATTCAAATTCTACCGAAGCAGCTCTAGATGAACCTCTTTTTCCCATAGCGCCAGGAAAAACTCGTCCAAACTATGGCACCAATAATACCTTAGAGCTTTTGGAACGCATCCCCACAGAAGTCGTAAATTTAAAGTTAGATGATGTATTGACTGCAGTAAAAGATGTAGATAACTTATGTGATTATCCGCGATGCAAAACAAAAACAAAACTTATGGGCCAAGATTGTGAGCTATGCCGTAAACGATTTTGCTTCAAACACGGATTGCCGGAGGTCCATGGATGTGGGGAGGCAGTAAAACGAGAGGAAAGAGTCAAATTCCTACACCCTAAACCAGCAAAGACCGTCCGCGAAGAAGCTGATCTTGCGCAGGCTAAGAAAAAGTTACAAGCCAAATTAAAAGATATGCAAGTAGGACGTATGCAAAAAGTAAATGGTGGCCCCCCGATGGTCGTGAAAGGTGGCAAAGGTGGGGCTGATGGAAGTGGTGCAGGCGATGGAAAGGGAGCAAAGCGGAAGAAAGGAAAATAAGTAATATATATAAATGTAATGTAAAACGCGAACAAGTTGACAAAATCAATAAAAAAAAAAGGTAAATTCTCGTCAATTTGTATATGAATAGAGACTAAAATAACGTTAATCCGTTTAAAACGTAAAATTTCGTCAAAAAATATAATAAAATTTGAAGTGCATTAAATTCAAACAAATTGACGATCATGTGAGTTTTGTTTAGTACAGTACTCTTAACAACTCTGTGTTTTTAGCGTCAGTTGATTTTGTTTGACGTTAATTCAATTTTGACGGCAGCAAGCGTCGCACAGAAGAAATCCACTTTTTATTGTTGTGAATGCTTAGTTATAACATTACATATCTAACTGTTTTGTATTCAACAATTAGTGATTATTTAATAAGTTAAACGATACAAAATATTGTGTGAAAATCAACCAGAAAGTGAGGGAAATTAAAAATCATACTTGAAAGTAGCGCGCCATGGATTTCCAGTTCGTGTTGCCTACCGCCAATGCAGAGCTGCTAAACTCAAGCGGAGATAGCTACTATGTGAAACAAGTTTATGCGCCAAATGAAATTGGGGAACGTTTACGATGTTAGTGAAACTTATTTATTTTTATATTTTAACACGTATTAATAAATGATTTTCTTTTGAAAGTGTGCAAACAAATGGTGCAACAAGGCGATCCGTTCTATCTCTTTGATCATTTTGATACATATTTTACCATAATTGACGGACGCGGTTGTGATGCGGCAACAGTTACCAATCTAATGCGATCCTTTGATTTACTGTACATTACTGTAGACAAGCTTGGTCAGAGGCTAGCGCCAATATTATCCTGCAGTGACACAGCACACAGTTTAGAAGACCGTCAAAAATATCTTAATTTGACAAAAATGTCACTATTTTTACAAGTCAATGTAGTGAGACGCATTGATAGTGTTTGTGCTCAGGTTCAACAACAACAACAGCAGAGTCAACAGAAAAAACGATCGAAACAAACTGAAACCCTTGAGCAATACCCTGACTGTCTCTTATACACATCTAGATGTGTATAAGAGACAGTTGATAGTGTTTGTGCTCAGGTTCAACAACAACAACAGCAGAGTCAACAGAAAAAACGATCGAAACAAACTGAAACCCTTGAGCAATACCCTGATTGGGATTCTAAGCGCGGTCGTTTTCTTGTACAACTTTTTAATATTTTACAGTTTCCGCTGGAAAAACTTTGGGATCCACCTGTAGCTGAAGAAAATTTTGTAAATTTAATTTGTGACATTTGCTATCGTACACTCGAGTTAATACAACCCCGTTCAGATAATCGGCATATTACAGATACGGTTTTTCAAATTTTCGGTACCGCCATAAAACGCTACAATCATGCGCTCACTTTTCCCGTGCGTGTTTTACAAATATTACGAACGACCGAACATGCTGCTCTATCAATTGCAAGCGGTATAAATGTATTACAGGAAGAGTATGGTATATCTAGTGTTTTCTCAGTGCTAATTAAGGATATTGTAGAGACTCTAACCGTCGATTCAGCTGATACGGTGGTATCAAGAAACTTTTCTAATTTTTTAATGGAATTAGCAACCATAGCGCCAAAACTAATGATACCCCATCTTTCTACATTATGTGATGAGTTGTTGAATTGCGAATCCCATACACTTCGAAATTGCATTTTACAAATTATGGGCGATGCAATCGTTGGTGAGCTAACCTCAGAAGAACTGTCAGAAGAATTGAAAGAGGCGCGAAATGAATTTCTTGAAAATTTATTAGCGCACATTAATGATGTATCAGCGCATGTGCGCGCGAAAGTTTTACAAATTTGGAATAATATGAAGGAAGAAAACGCGGTACCGTTGTCTTTCCAGTTAAAAGTGTTGTGTGAAGCTGTTGATCGTTTAGAAGATAAAACTTCCTCTGTACGCAAACATGCTGTACAGCTTATTAAATCATTTTTGGAACGAAATCCTTTTGCAGCTAAACTAACGTTAGAAGAACTAATAAAGAAACATGCGGAAGAATGTGAAAAAATGGAGAAATTAAGTGAAGTGTTGGCGGAGGAGCGTAAAAAAGCCGAGGAATTGGATGAGCAATGGAATGTGTTAATACCGGAAATATTACCCATTGTAGAGACACACTTGAAAGAATGTTAGTAAAGTTATTTGTATATATATGCACATATATATACATTTAATTCTATATAGATACATATTAATATTTATTTATACTTTTTGTTTTGCCTTGTATTAGGTACCGAAGATTTGCCAGAGAATACGCAAGAGAACTATGAAGATATGATACAACGCATTTCCACACTGTTGTTGGAGAAAAAATATCGCGAGGCAGTTAATTTGTTGCGAAAAGCCGACCATGTTGCCGGCAACGCTGAATTGCGGTATATATTTTCAAGCCATACAGTTTGRAGACTTGACTTAGAATTATAATATTTATTGCAGGCATACGCTAAAACTAGAAGAACAATGCGCCTACTATATGGCATTGTTAAAATCCTACATCTTTCTGGCAAACGGGTGCAAAGACAGCGTAAGTTTACTATTCATTTCAATAAAATCGTTTTCAAGAAGTAAACATACTTCCCTACAAATCATAGAACGAGGAATTGGGCACACAAATCAAGACTGTACAGTTTTTACAAGACTCGATCGATTTTTCTAAAGTCATAACAAAAGCTGTGCCAAAAATTCAAGAATTATTGCTGTCCAAAACTAACACTGATGTATTTGAAGCTGTTGATCTCTTTACGACCGGTTATTTATTTGGTATTAAAGGCACTGAAGGTGGTATGCGGCAGATGTTGTATCTGGTATGGTCATCGGATAAGGAAAAACGTGATGCAGTTTCTAATGCCTACAAAAAAGTACTATTCACTACCGATCAAACGGGCAGGTTGGTAGAATATTTTATTCACATATATGTGTATTTTCATACAAATTTATTTTGCTAATTTAGGGCACATGGCATTAAGGTCGTGCAGAATCTTATGAGGTTTCTTGAGGAACTCGAATATGGTCATTACGCAGCCATGGAGTGTTTGATGCGCGAATGGGTATCCACGGACGATATTGATGCTGCTATTATACAAGTGCTTTTTGAACGTTTTACGCAGAAATTAGAGGGCACTTCCGACAATGAATCTCGCYTAGCATTACAACTGCTGATAATGGCATCACATGCCAAGTCGTCCATTGCATCGGCAAATATTAATGTAATTGAAACGATTGGTTTGGGCGAACGTGCCAAATCCGATCCACGTATTTATACTGGTTGTATGGAGTTTATGCTGAACTCTATTGATTCAAGCGCACACTCGAAATTCTACAAACGTTATGAGCCAGATGCAGCTCTTGTGCAAAAAGTGATCGAATTCTTTCAACGGTATTTCTTTCATCCTGGCGTGCCAGATTTTGATAAGCTAGCAATGCGTACGTTGGAATTTTTCTATCACCTCTGTCAGACGCCGGATGTTATTTGTCAGAAAATTGTTGTTGTTTTATTGAAAAAATTCCGTGATTATGCTATATGTATCACCGATATTACACCATCGCAGCAAGCGCACGCGCTCGAAACACCCTTTTCGCAGCCCATACCGGAAACACAACCAACTCAGTCTCAGAGTGCTGCAGTGCCACAGCAAAA